GCACCAGCTGCTTGCACAAACATGCTGTCATGCACAAAGACTGTCTCAGCCCCCTCGGGCACTCCAGGACCAGCATAAAAGCCGGCCCAGAGCCTCTGTCCCTCACTCGCCTCTGCTGACGCCTTCTCCTGCGCGCTCAACAAGGTGAGCCTCAAGCCCCTTGCCCTCTGCTCCTGCCCCCCTGCCCCGGCTCTTCCAGCACGCTCTGCCCCAGCCTCAGCACCCCTCACGCCTCCCCAGCCCCACAGCCCCACACCAGCCTCCCCACTGCCTCGCCCTCCTGCACCACCGCCCCTCGCACCCCCACGCCCTCCGCTCTCCCCACACCCTCTCTTCCATTCTCTCCTCTCCTCTCCCCTGCCAGGGCCCCTCCACACCACAGACATGGCCTGCTACGACCTCTGCCGCCCCTGCGGACCCACCCCGCTGGCCAACAGCTGCAACGAGCCCTGTGTCAGGCAGTGCGAGGACTCCCGCGTCGTCATCCAGCCTTCCACCGTGCTGGTCACCCTGCCAGGACCCATCCTCAGCTCCTTCCCCCAGAGCACCGCCGTCGGATCCTCCTCATCCGCTGCCGTGGGCAACGTCCTCAGCGCCCAGGGAGTGCCCGTCTCCTCTGGGGGCTTCGGCTACGGCCTTGGCTACGGCTTCGGAGGCCTGGGCTGCTACGGCACAGGAAGAGGCTGCAACATCTGCTAAGGGCCATTGACAACACGCCTGAAACCACTCACGTACATTCTGGAAGCAAAGACATGGACTGAGGATACACGTCTGGGGTAATGCTGGCACACCAGTTCACCTTCTGCAGCTCCTTCCCTTGTGGCACAGAGCAAGCAGGGAAGGGGGCCCGACCAGGCTGCCTGTAACCAAGGCCCATGGACCTCCTCCTCTTCTCTCACTTTCTTCTCTGCATTGTCCCTTCTAATATGTCCCAACCTCTCTGCTGCACCGAGCCTTCTCTGCGTTACGATTACACCATGCACAGGGGAGACATGGGTGCTCCCTAGCAATAGCTGCTATGTAAAACCCTATGAGCTCTCTATGGTGCAGAAGACCTCAGTGCATGGTCACCATACTTGCACCTCACCTCTCTTCCTCCTTATGCCTGTATATTTTCATGCTTTTGTCTCAATAAAGTTCTGCATCACAACACCTCGTCCCCATTCTTCTACCATGGCTCTTCCAACTTCATGCAGCACAAAGCCAGGGCTCAACAGGCCATCAGTGTGGGTGAAAAAGGCCACCAAAATTCTCCTGGGAAATATACCACCACAACCAACAAAGACAGGCACCTGAGCTGCTTTCACAAGGTGACAGAGGTTTGAGCAAGTGCTGGCTCTAAGCCAGTCTTGAACATGGCAACACTCCCATGAGAACGCCTCTGATGGAGTCACCATAAACTGATGAGATCTTTCGCGTGAAGTCCCAGGGCCACCCACACAGGAACTCATGGCCTGGTCCCCACTTGCTGGAATGACCATGGATAGCCAATAGAGCATGCCCAAGTCACCACTCTCCTTGCTCTGAGATCCTCCTCTGACCCAGGTGTGGGTCGATGTTGCACTGACCACCTGGCTGCTTGGTCCCCATTCCAAACATGCCAGTGTACCCAGGCCAAGGTATCACCTTGCTGTGGGGTCCACAAATGCTGCCTTGGAGGTTCCCCAACCACCAGCCCCTCTTCCCTGCAGGCTCCAACACTGACCCACACAGAACGTCTCCTGACCATCATACCCCCTGCTGCAAAGTCTCTGGACCACCTCTGCAGGATACCCCAAGCCACCATCCCTATGCTCTGAGGTCACACAGAAAACACCAGTATGAGGTCACAGTCCTCCTCACCTTGGCTCAATGGGTCTCTGCACGACGCACTGTGGACAAGTGCAGGAATAAGTCTGTGACCAGCTCTGCTGCGAAGATGGGGCTCTGTGGTGGGTAGACTTTGGTTGGGCACCACGTGCTCACCGAGCTGCTCTATCACACCTCTTCCTCAACTGGAGAGGGGGACAGCAATATGACAAAAAGCTCTTGAACTAAGATAAGGTCATGGAAATCACTCACAAGCAGGAGATCACTCCAGTGGCAGCAAAACAGACTGTGCTTGGGAAATTAATATAATTTATCAAAGTTAAATTCATTTTCAAAAAGAGTAGAATTAAGAGAAGTAAAAAGAAATCTCGAAACACCTTCCCCACATTCACCTTCCCTCATGAATTACTGTTGTGGTTTAAACCCAGCCAGACAGCTTGTTCACTCAGTCCCCCCCTTTCCTCCCTCTTCCTTTCCTTCCCCCTACTCCTGGAGGGACGGAGAGGGGAACCGAAAAGAATGCAACTCCCATGGGTTGAGATAAGAACAGTTTCGTAACTAAGGTATAACACAAATCACTACAGCGACCACCAATAATAATAATAATAAAGGGAATAGCAAGGGAAGAGAATACAACATCTCAGCACCAGCCGACCGATAACTTGCCCCTCCAGCCCGACCAAGCACCGACCGATACCTCGTCCAACGCTGCAGTGCCACCCCTTCTGGGTAACTCCCAGTTCCATCCTGGGCATGACGTGCCTGTGGTATGGAATACCTCTTTGGCTAGCTTGGGTCAGGTGTCATTTCTCTGCTTCCTCCCAGCCTCCCCTCCTCCCTGGCAGAGCATGAGGCTCACAAAGTCCTTGGCCAGACCAAAACATCATTGTTATCAGCTCTGTTCCCAGGCCGAAAGAAAAAACACAGCACTGCACCAGCTACCAAGAAGGAGAAAAATGACTGCTACTGCTGAACCCAGGGCAATTATATATTCCTTTCCTCAAAGGCACAAATGGGGATGAGAAATGGGGGTTGTAGTCAGTTCAACACACATTGTTGCTAATCCTCTTTGGTCCTCACACTCTTTCCGTCCTCCATCTTGGACTCCCTTCAAAGGGAACAGCTCCATGAACTTGCTCAGCGTGTGCTCTTCAAACACGCTCTTTGAGACATGGCAGAAGCTTCTTGCATCTTCTAACAGAACCTTCGCATGTGAACCCATTAAAAGTACAACCTTACAGGCATAAAAAGGCACCAGGACACCCATAGAGCTCACCCAAAAGGAAAGAAAAGGACTACAGACAGGACTACTGACGTAGCAGCAAGTCAGGGAGGAAGCTAACGCAATGGAAGGGGGAGGCTCCCAAACTAAGATAAGGTCATGGAGATCACTCACAGGCAGGAGAACACTCCAGTGGCAGCAAAACAGACTGCACTTGGGAAATTAATATAATTTATCAAAGTTAAATTAATTTCCAACAAAGTCAGAGTAGAATTAAGAGAAATAAAACCAAATCTTGAAACGCCTTCCCCAAACCTTCTTCAAGGTTCTCCTTCCCTCATGAATTACATATTCCTTTCCCCAAAGCCGTAAATGTGGATTTGAAATGCGAGTTGTACTCAGTTCAACACACATTGTTGCTAATCCTCTTTGGTCCTCACACTCTTTCTTTTCTCCATCTTGGACTCCCAAGGGAAACAGCGTTCCATGAACTTACTCAACGCGCGTTTTTCAAACAGGCTGTTTGAGACATGGGGGAAGCTTCTTGCAACTTCTAACAGAACCTTCTCAGGTGAATCCATCACAAGTACAAACTTACAAGCATAAAAAGGCACCACGACACCCACAGAGCTCACCCAACAGGAAAGGACAGGCCTACGGACAGGATTAGTGACCTGGCAGCAAGTCAGGGAGGAACCTAATGCAATGGAAGGGGCAGCCTCTCACAGCCAGCACAGCCCCAGGGCTGCAAGGACATGGGGCCCCCTCTTCATAACCCAGCCACAAACCACAGCCATGAGTGCCACAGGATGACATCAATGATGACACCCCCATCACTCCAATACTTTTGTTGCATGTTCTGCCAAATGCCCTGACATGCACCATCAACACCAAGCCTTTGGTCTCTAATACTTGAAAGCTGCCGCCAGGGCCAGAAGGACACGTCCTCAACAGGAGGACATGAACTTCCAGAATTCTTGGAAGGAAAACACAACCACAACTAATTGCTTGCAAGGATCTGACATGCACCAGCTGCTTGCACAAACATGCTGTCATGCACAAAGACTGTCTCAGCCCCCTCGGGCACTCCAGGACCAGCATAAAAGCCGGCCCAGAGCCTCTGTCCCTCACTCGCCTCTGCTGACGCCTTCTCCTGCGCGCTCAACAAGGTGAGCCTCAAGCCCCTTGCCCTCTGCTCCTGCCCCCCTGCCCCGGCTCTTCCAGCACGCTCTGCCCCAGCCTCAGCACCCCTCACGCCTCCCCAGCCCCACAGCCCCACACCAGCCTCCCCACTGCCTCGCCCTCCTGCACCACCGCCCCTCGCACCCCCACGCCCTCCGCTCTCCCCACACACTTCCATTCTCCCCTCTCCCCTGCCAGGGCCCCTCCACACCACAGACATGGCCTGCTACGACCTCTGCCGCCCCTGCGGACCCACCCCGCTGGCCAACAGCTGCAACGAGCCCTGTGTCAGGCAGTGCGAGGACTCCCGCGTCGTCATCCAGCCTTCCACCGTGCTGGTCACCCTGCCAGGACCCATCCTCAGCTCCTTCCCCCAGAGCACCGCCGTCGGATCCTCCTCATCCGCTGCCGTGGGCAACGTCCTCAGCGCCCAGGGAGTGCCCGTCTCCTCTGGGGGCTTCGGCTACGGCCTTGGCTACGGCTTCGGAGGCCTGGGCTGCTACGGCACAGGAAGAGGCTGCAACATCTGCTAAGGGCCATTGACAACACCCTGACAACAGCAACAACACCCTGGAAGCAACACAAAGGACTGAGGATGCACATCCACACTGCTCCTGACACATCTATCTGCTGTCCACAGGTTCTACTCTCTAGGTACCAAGAAATTAAGCAGAGCCTGTGTTGCCTGGTAACATGCCCCATGGACCTCCTCCTCTCACTTCCTTCCGTGTGTCAGCCATCTGCTATGTCCAGTACTGTGAGCCACAAACAGCATCTCACAAGCTAAGAAAGATTCAGGGGACCTTTAGTGGGGTCCTCCCAATTCAGGCCAGCAAGACCACAGTGCTCTGTCAAAATCCACTGTAAACAGGAAACCTCAGGGGATGGTCGTCCTACTTGCACCTCAGACCCGCTCTCTACCACCTTATGATTTTACATTTTCACTCTTGTCACAATAAAGTTCTTCTGCATTCAAGCCTTTGATGCCTCCTCTCCTATTCTTTTACCATGGCTCTTCCAGCTTCATGCAGCACAAAGCCAGGGTTCAACAGGCCATCGGGGTGAGTGAACAAGGGCCACGAAGATTTCCCTATGAAATATGCCACCACAAGCAAACCGACCCGTGGAAGCCTTCCAGAACATGACACAAGCCCATTACTGTCTCAAAGAAAGCACTGAACATGACATTGCTCCCCTGTGCACGACTTTTATGGAGTCACCCCAGGCTCATGAGAACATTTGGATAGGGTCCCAGGGCCAACCACAAAGGAACTCATGGCCCTCTTACCGACTGCTGCGAGGACCATGGGTATCTCATGCAGGGTGCACTGGTCTCCACTCTCTTGCTCTGGGATCCTCTTCTGAGTCAGGTGTGTTTTCCTGTTACACTGACTTTCTGGCTGCCTTTTCCCCATTCCAGCCATGTCAGAGTCCCCAGGCCATGGTCTCACCTTACTATGGGGTCCACAAATGATGCCTTGCTGAGGTGCTTACGTGGCTCCCAGCCCCTCGTCACTGCAGGCCCAACAGTGCAGGGGGTCTCTGGACGGATCATCCTCCCTGCTGCTCTGTTTCTGGAACAAATCTGCAGGGGACCCGAAGCCAAGATCCCTCTGCTCTCAGGTCACACAGAAAGCCCCCAGTGTGAAGTCACAATCCTCCTTACATAGGCTCAATGGAGCCCTGCATGGGGCACTCAGAACAAGGTGCAGGAACAAGCCTGTAACCCTGTTGTCCTGTGAAGATGGGGCTCTGAGGTGATTTGAGGTTGGCTGGGCAACAAGTGCTCAGTGACTGGCTCTATCACTCCTCTTCCTCAATCGGGTAGGGGAAGAATATCCTAAGTAGACACAAGGACATGGAGATCACTCACCACGTCCCAGCACCAGCAAAACAGACTTGACTCAGTGAAATTAATTTATCAAAAGTCAAAGTAGAATTAAGGAAAATAAAAACAATTATTAAAACACCTTCCCCCAACCTCTCCCTTCTTCAGGGTTCATCTTCCCTTCCAAATTACTTACTCCCTTGTGCAAAACAGCACAGAGAGATGGGAATGGGAATTGTGGTCAGTTCACTCCACACTGTCTCTGCTCTTCCGTCCCCCTCACACTCTTCCCCTGCTCCATCATGGGGCCTCTTCCACAGGAAATAGCCCTCCACGAACTTATCTGTGCCTTTCCCACAGTCTCTATTGGACTTGGAAAAAGCTTCTGGCATCTTCACACAGAACCAACACAGCAGCCCAATGGCTACCAAAACATTTCCACCTAAACCCACTAGAGCCAGTGACAACCTCACAGGCAGAAGGGCACCAGGACACCCACAGAACTCACCCAATGAGAAAGGCCCAAAGCCAGGCTTGCTGACCCGCCAACAAGGTGAGGAGAGACTGAACACAAAAGAAAGGGAAGCTCCTCGCAGCCAGCACAGCTCCAAAGCCCAGAAAAGGATGACAGGGTTGTGAGGACATGGGGTCCCCTCTTCACAAGGCACCCACAAACCACACCACAAAAGTGCGAAGAGATGACCTCACTCACAGAAACCCATCTCTTCAGTGTTTTGGTTGCATGAACTGCCAGCTGTCCTGAAATGCACCAGCAAAACCAAGTATTCAGCCTTTATTATTTGCACTTCAAGGCTTCAAGATGTAGAATCTTGGTGTGTTTTGCTGCAAGGGTGCATTGCTGCACCATCCTGAGCTTGTTCTCCACCAGCCCCACAAAGCTCTACTCAGTAAAGCTGCTTTCCAGCATCTCAGGCTCCAGTACGTTCTGACAACAGGAGCCATTCCTCCCTACATGGAAAATTTTACATTTCTTCCTGTTCAACTTCAGGAGATTCCTATCTGCCCATCCTCCAGCACCTCCCGTTCCCTCTACATCATGGCACAACCATCCAGCATCTCAGTCTCTCTCCACATTTTGCATCATCTCTAAACCTGCTGAGAGAGCACTCAAGCCAACTGCCCACAAACACAGGTGACCCCACACCCCATGACCATGCAAGGGGAGAAAGCATCAAAGGTTTTGCAGGAATACTGAGGTAAACAACAGAGCAGCACTCTCCTTGTCCACAAAACTCATCATTTCAAAGTAGAACACCCTTACAAAGGTGGTCTCCTTACAAGGTGCCCCACATCAAGCACTTCATCAAACCAGAGGCCAGGCTGCAAACGTGCCACTCGTAAAAGAGGGTAGCACTAAAATTGGGCCAAGACAAACTTTTGGACGGATTGGAAGTGCTCCCCACATCACAGGAATAACCAGATCTCAAGCACAGTTTCCAGGAACACAGCCTGCTGTTGCAAACTGCCCTGCCCTGACACGGCTACGAGGACATGGGAAACCTCTTCACAAGGCACCCACAAACCACAGCACAAAAGTGCTAAGAGATGACCTCACTCACAGAAACCCACCTCTTAATGCTTTGGTTGCATGTTCTGCCAAGTGTCATGAAACGCGCCGTCAACACCAAGACTTTGGCCTTTAATATTTGCACTTCAAGGCTGCCGCCAGGGCCAGATGGACACGTCCCAACAGGAGGACATGCCAAGGGAGCGTTGTGGGAAGGAGAACACGCCCCAGCTCATGACTTGCCAGGCTGTGGCACGCACCAGCTGCTTGCTGACAAATGCTGCCATGCGCAAAGGCTGTCCCGCCCCTCGGGGACCAGCATAAAAGCCGGCCCAGAGCCTCTGTCCCTCACTCGCCTCTGCTGACGCCTTCTCCTGCGCGCTCAACAAGGTGAGCCTCAAGCCCCTTGCCCTCTGCTCCTGCCCCCCTGCCCCGGCTCTTCCAGCACGCTCTGCCCCAGCCTCAGCACCCCTCACGCCTCCCCAGCCCCACAGCCCCACACCAGCCTCCCCACTGCCTCGCCCTCCTGCACCACCGCCCCTCGCACCCCCCGCCCTCCGCTCTCCCAACACCCTCTCTTCCAATCTCTCCCCTCTCCTCTCCTCTCCTCTCCTCTCCCCTCCCCTGCCAGGGCCCCTCCACACCACAGACATGGCCTGCTACGACCTCTGCCGCCCCTGCGGACCCACCCCGCTGGCCAACAGCTGCAACGAGCCCTGTGTCAGGCAGTGCGAGGACTCCCGCGTCGTCATCCAGCCTTCCACCGTGCTGGTCACCCTGCCAGGACCCATCCTCAGCTCCTTCCCCCAGAGCACCGCCGTCGGATCCTCCTCATCCGCTGCCGTGGGCAACGTCCTCAGCGCCCAGGGAGTGCCCGTCTCCTCTGGGGGCTTCGGCTACGGCCTTGGCTACGGCTTCGGAGGCCTGGGCTGCTACGGCACAGGAAGAGGCTGCAACATCTGCTAAGGGCCATTGACAACACGCATGAAACCACTCACATACATTCAAGAAGCAAAGACATGGACTGGAGATGCATGTCTCTGCTGGTTTTGATGAGTGGACCTGCCCACAACAGCTTCTAATCTCAAGGTACCAGGAGAGGAAGCAGGGCTGGGGGCCAGACCAGCCTCTTTGCATCATATCGCATAGATCCTCCTCTTTTTACACTTCTTTCTGTGCATCATTCCTTTGGTGATGTTCAGTACTTTCTGCTATTAAAAACATCTCAAAGGCAGAAAACACTGGGGGAAACTTCAGGGATCTGCTCCTTCTGCAAAGTAGGAAGGCCTTGATACTCTGGCATAGTCTTCTGCAAGCAGAAGACCTTGACAGATGGTCACTCTACCTGCACATCAGATCCTCTTTCTTCCACTTGGTGATTCTGACTTCTCAACCCTTTTTCCTCAATAAAGTCCTCCTGCATCCCAGCCTGAAAAGCCTCCTCTTCCTTTCTTTTACCAAGGATCCTCCACCTTCACCAATCAAAAGTCAGGTCTCTACAGGCCATTAGGTTTGGTGGAAAAGGGCCACTAGTCATCTCCTAGGATAAATGCCAGGACACCCAACAACAATACACAGTGGCAGGTGGAGGCCTTCCAGAACATGACACATGCCCATCCACTGGCTCAAAGAAATGATTTGATGTGATAACGCTCCCCTCTGCATACCTTGACTACCAGCACACACTTGACTAACTCAAGTTAGAGTTAGTAGCTAGGGTGTCCAGCTACAGCAGCGTGTCTTAGACATGGACAGTTGGGTTGTCAGTAGCTTCCACCTTGGAGACTTCACAACCTCTTCCACTCATTGACCTTCCTTACACTAAAAAAGGATTTCCTTCTTTGCCCATGGAATTTCACCTTTTTTTCCCTTGTGCCCACAGCCTCTTGTCTTGCCACTGACCACAAGCCTCTGGGCTCAGCCCTTCAGCCACTTTGCAGTCCTCCTCACAGGGCTCTTTCACAACCCAGACTTTCTCTGCTTACAAGGAGCGTGTAATGGGAGACAGTGACAAAGGCTTCCTTCAAGGACAGCTCAGCAATAGACACTGCTCTAACCTCTGCCAACACCCAGTGGCTTCAACAGAGAAGACACAGAGGTTGGTCAAGGACAATTTCCATTCCCAAAATCCACACCTAAACCACAGCCCGTCACCCTGACCTTGCTGGGCATGGCACTGCTCTCCAGGAAGGTTTCTTCTGTCACCTTCTGTGGGAATGAGGTCAGGCTCAACAGCCTCTACTTTCTAAGAATGTAC